AGCTGTGGAGGGCAGTGTCACTGACCCTCATATGTGGGATCCGAGCTGGGGCCCTCTGGCGTCCCAAGCCAGCTCTAAACCAATGCGCCACTCGGCCGACCCTTTTTTTTTTTTTTAGCTGAGCCATCCTGCCACCTGTTGGCAGCTCAGCTCAGGCCAAAAATTGAACCAGCAACCCTGTTGCTCAGAGCTCTGCATTGACTTTTTTAAGAGTACCCTATTTAGCTATCTACCCATATTGTATTTTTATTCAAGAGAACAGAATAAAAAAAGGAGGAATATATGATTACTTATTCATCCAATGGAAAATTGTTTGGGAGTGACAGTCAATGAACTAAAACCATGCATGACCACCTAGATGCATTTAAAAAACATAATATCAAGAGAAAGTAAGTGGGGCGGCCAGTTAGCTCAGTTGGTTAGAGCGCAGTGCTCATAACACCAAGGTTGCCGGTTCAATTCCCACATGGGCCACTGAGTTGCGCCCTCCACAAATAGATTGAAGCAACTACTTGACTTGGAGCTGATGGGTCCTGGAAAAACACACTGTTCCCCAATAAACGAAAGAGAGAGGGGGGGGAGGAGAGAGAGAGAGAGAGAGAGAGAGAGAGAGAGAGAGAGGAAGTTACAGAAAATTTTGAAACATCATTTACTCAGGGACAGGAATGGGAGGGGACTGGACAAGGAAGGACACTGCCAAGGTCCTGGTTTTGTTTTTGTTTTGTTTTTTGAAGGTGAGTGGTGAGTACATGGATGTTCATTTTATAATTATTACTTAACTGTACTTATCCATTATATGTAACTTTTAATATAGTATCTATTTTACAGTAAAAAAATTTAAAAAGCAGAAAGAAAAGAAAAACAAAGGAAATGATTTGCTCAGCTTACAAAGGACAGCCACATTGTTTGGCATTTTCAAAGGTTCATAAATTGAGTCTGCACAGGCATGGTTCTCAGCCTTTTTATATGCACTAATTGAGCCTCCTTCGAATTCTATGAAATAGATTTTCATTTTACAAATGAGGAAACTGAGGCTATGGAGCATAAGGAAACTGCTCAAGGTCACACAGCCATAAGTGTCAGGGCCCAGCGCCGGAAGTCTGTCTGGTGTCATGGCCGCCATCTGAGCCAGTCTGCAGTAATGCCCTCGGCCTGCACTGGCTGATTAGGACTGATTTTTATTTTTATTTTTATTTTTTTAGTATAGCTGGGGTTTCAGTTGACTCCTCGCTTTCTACCTTTATAAAATAAAAGGGCATTGGGCCTGGCTTGCGGTCACAGTAGATAACTTGTGACCTTCAGAGGTCACCACATGCTTGCCGCCTGCCTTGGGTTGTTCTTTGCTCTTGCTCAGATTTACTTTTCTTTCAAACCCAGACAGCACCAGTGGCGCTAATGAAAGTCAGGCTGAGTTCTTAGTTGCTCTTTTGGGCAGGACCCGTTGTCTTCATTTGCTGCTCAAAGTTTCGACTTGCTGGAAAATTGTGTTCTGGCTTACAGGAAAGATAGAACCAGAAAACCCTCCCAGGCCAATGGTGGTAGAGAGCCATGGGGTTATCTCAGAAGGAATGCGATTGACCGAAGGGCGTGCTCTGCTGTCCTTTCCTTATCTGAGGCTGTACTTTCCCGGGCTAAGTAGGTTGCAGCAGTTGAATTACTCAGAGATACTACCATCTGTTGAATTAAAGACCCAGGTCCACTTCCAGCTCTCCTCCTGATTTGCTGTGCAATTTTTGGGTGGGTCTCAACCTGTGTTGACCTCTGCTTATCTACTTATAAAATGAAGGCTGAGTAATTAAGTGCTTCCTGCATGCTTTAGAATCATGGGTGCCACGCTGGATAAGCCAGCAGCATACCTTCTCCACACCGCACCTGAACAGCTGCACACACAGTAGGGCAGACCGGATGCCCAGTGTGAGTGCACAGAGATTCGGTCTGCCCTACTGTGTCACCAACTCCAAACGCACCCCCACAGTGCCAACAGACCTGACCCTGATGTGTTTCTCTGGGTAACTCAGTTTCCTGCTCTCAACCACCATTTCGCATCTTCTGCTGACTTTCCAAACCTCTTTTCAAACCTTCTTCCCCACACTTCCCCCTGATTCTCAACAAACTTACTCCCTTCCTTACTCTACAAGAAAAAGTAGAATCAGCTTGGAATTCTCTAATCTTCCTGATGCCAAAATTAACATCCCATTGTCTGCACCCAATTTACTCTCCTTTCCCCGCCAAACAGAAGAAGCCAATTGCCCAGCGATACTTACTTGGGGTCCCATCCTCCTCCTCTATTGAAGGTAACATGTCTTTTTTGCCTCTGCGTTTAAGATTTTTCTCATTGTCTTTGATTTTCAGCAATTTTATTATGATATGCCTCCATGTAGTTTTATTTTAAAAATATTTTTGCTCTGGAATCTGTGGCTAAGTGACTTAACTAAAGTTATAACATTTAGGACTACCACCCAAGTTCTCACTTCAATTCTATTGCTCCTTTAGGCACAAGGCAGCACAACCCATTATGCCATAACATTTACATAGAGAACTTTTAAAATCAAAATACCACAAATGCTGTGTTTATTCGCTTCCTAAATACTCACCGAGGATTTACCGTGAGCCCGGTACTGAGCTGGGTGCTGGAGATACGATCGCGTAGAAGTGTGCAGATCCCTGCCTTCATGGAGTTTCCGGTAAAATAGAGAGATGGACGTCATCTTCCCTCTGAGAGAACGCTCCTGTGCGTCCAGCAGACAGCTTGAACGCAGGCACATAGTCTTTATCCATCTGGTATTGAGCTCATTCAAAGCTGGGTTTCAATCTTTGTGAGATCAGGTCCGTTTCCAGTTGACTCTTACTCCGAGGAAGAAAGACTTTGAGGGGTCCCAACTGAAAAGTCTGGAGGTTACCAAGCCCTTCCCCTGTGGTGGGCTTGAACTCCAATTCTATTTCTCTCTAGTAAAATATGAAAGCATTTTTAAGCTTCTCAGCCTCTCAGGGGCAGCTTCCAATCCAGAAAATACCTTGAGGGGGGAAAGCAGTGACCAGTGTCACTCTCACTTAGTGTGTTTCCCCTTGCTTTGGGAATGTCTCAAATTCGTGGTGCCTTCACAGCCTTGGAGGCTCGCTCGGCGTCTGCTCCACATAGCCACTGGGGCAGCTTGGCTTCGTCTTCTGTCTGTGCTGCTTCCATGTGGACAAATGCCTCAAAGGGGAACGCAGCTCACGAGGTTAGGCTCACCTCACTGTGCTGCTTCTCTTCAGCCGCCTGGACCCTTGCTCCCTGGCTGTCTTGGTATCTCCACAATGCTTTGACGCGGTTTGTTTGTCGTTGAATTCCGTTCTCTATTTGTTTCTTGGCAGAAGAGTTGGTGCGAGCCGGAAGTGAAATCCCATGATGAATGCCGGTTTAATTATCAGAACTTTTTAGCACCTCCATTCATTCACCTTGTTCTTCTCTCAAGCAGCTCACGCCTTTTGCCAAACTTTCCTATCCATCAGCTGCTATCTTCACACTTTTGAAAACTCACTTGTTCGTGCTGACTCACCGCCCCATGCCTTTTTGAGTCTGTAAAATTAAAAAATATTGTTTTCCATTCTAACAGATATGTGAGTGCTGGCAGATTACATTTTTCAGAGCCAGGGACTAGGTGTGGTGGAGGTGGTTGTATTCTTGGCATTAGTTAGTTCAGGTTCGGGTCCCTCTCTAATGAGTTCTTGGTTTGGTTTTTATCTTTCTCTAGTGAGAGAGAAAGCCCCAGGCTTGCTTCTCAGTTTCTTTCCAGGATGTTTTACAGTGTGGAGGAACTAAGTGGGAATTAGAAGTCAAAATCATTTAAGATTCCCTATTTCTATAGTCAGCACTGAAATTGATTGCATGCAAACGGTGGCAAATATTTAAGCAAATTTAAAAGCGATTAGGCAGTTTGTTTTGTCTTCCAGGCACAGGCATTTCATGCTACCTATCTACATCATCTAAGCTTAGAATGCCCTAACTTATGATGGCAGTTTTGTTTCTCATTATTGGTACCCACAAAAATATAAACACAATTTATAGATGTCTTTGCATACTTAACATACTTTATTCCTTTCGCTCCTCACCATAGCCCTATGAGACCTGTATTAATTTTTCCATTTAGACTTTGACACAGCTAATGAGTAGCAGAACCAGAACCTGAACCCAGCTCTCTCTGAGTCCCACTTACAGGCACTTAGCCCCCGCATGATGCTGCTTTCTAGTGGCTATTCCTGCCATGGGTATTATCTGCCTCCAGAGAGTTATCTTTGCAGACTTGCACAGGAGACAGTCCACTTCATCCCAAGTGATTTGTGTTAAAGAATAAGATTGTGTAACCTTTATTATGAGGCAAAGACCATATCTGGGCAATATAGGACCTTCTGAGGATTCCACATCTTGTTCGGTCAGAATATGTGGCAACTTATTTTGGCAAATTACAAGCTGGTGCATTCTTTTGTTGTTGTTGTTTTAGATTTTTATTGGGGAATTGGGGAAGGAAAATGTTGTGTTTTTCGAAGACCCATCAGCTCCAAGTCAAGTTGTTGTCCTTCGATCTTTGTTGTGGATGGCGCAAACTCAGCTCCAAGTCCAGTTGCCACTCTAGTCACTCTAGTTGCGGGGGTTACGCAGCCCACCATCCCATGTGGGAGTCGAACTGGCAACCTTGTTGTTAAGAACACGCACTCTAACCAACTGAGCCACCCAGCCGCCCATCGGCAGCTCACAGCTGCTCAGCTCAAGGTGCCATGTTCAATTTTAGTTGCCGGGGGCATAGCCCACCATCCCATGCGGAAGTCGAACCAGCAACGCTGTTGTTAAGAGCACACACTCTAACCAACTGAGCCACCCGGCCGGCCCCAAGTGGGTGTATTCTTAATGTGAGTCAGGGTGCATATTCTGTGTGAATTTTGATTTATCTGATGTCTTGAAATCAAAACTGCAAAAGAATTGATTAACTGTAATTTATTATATCTGTCACTCTTGATTTCAGGGAAGTTTAATTAGCATTAACAGCACTTGTACAGAGATGGGCAATTTTGACAACGCTAATGTCACTGGAGAAATAGAACTTGCCATTCGTTATTGCTTCAAAACCTATTCTTTGGAAATATGTATCGAGGCCTGTAGGAATCTTGCCTATGGAGAGGATAAGAAGAAAAAGTGCAATCCGTAAGTTTCTTTTTCTGTTTTGACATAAGATGATAGACATGCTGATTCTAAGTTTATATGGAAAAGTAAAAGTCCAAGAGTAACCAAGACAATTGTAAAAAATAAGTAAACAAAATAGAAGACTGTGTCAAGAATTATTATAGCCCTGTAGTAATTCCAATAATGTGTTATTGATGCAAGAATAGACAAGCAGGTCAATAGAGCAGAATCAAAAGTCCAAATATAGACCGTAGCATATATGGGAATGTATATAATCAAGGGGTTATTTTAAATCAATGCGGATGAACTTCAATAAATAGTATTGGAATATTTGACTTCCCATACAGGAAAAATAAAATTACAATCCTGTCTCACACAATCCATAAACAGATTAAAATTTTTTTCCAACAGATAAATGTGAGATGGTATCTCATTATTATTTTAACATGTATTTCCCTGATTACTAACAAAGACAAACAACGTTTCATATACACTTTAGCCACTTAGGATTTCCCTTCTGGGAACTTCCTGTCATCTGAAAGATTGCGACAGAGTAGGAAGCATCAAGAACCCATCTCCCCACATAGACAACAACTACACTGTCAGTATCTGTCTGATGTAACTATTTTGGAACTCTGGAGTCTTTGAAGGCTTGCAACTTCCAGGGGGAGACTTGGATGGTAAATTGGGGTTAATATCGGTCAATCTAAGCTCTTAGAACAGTAGCAGATACCCGTCCTCCACCCCCAACCCCTTGGCAGTCAGCTGTGCATGTGTTCCTACAGCAGCTTGCACACAGCTTTGCAGGAGCCTGTCCTCCAAATATCAGGGATCTCTTCTCTGATTGCTGATTGCTGCTTCTGATCACAGAGGTACAAAAAGGCTTGCAGCCATTGTGGTTGCGTCTCAACCGGTTGCTGCAATCCCCTCCCCCTCCGGCTGATGTGATTTCCAGGGGGCTTAAAGGACCAGTGCCCTTATTTGTCTCCCTTTTTCAATTTTCTATTTTTCCCCTTTGGAAGCTAGATACTATAGACTAGGATATTCAAAAGTAACTGCATGTGCAAGGAAAATGTGAAAGTGACTATGCGTGCCCAGGGAAAGGCTCAGAATAAACATGAGAAGACCTTAAGTTTACACTTCAGGCTGATCCTTGGCACAGCATCAATAAACAAAATGATAACAAAAACCCCCAGCAAACCCTGGGGATGGAGAGAATCTGATTTCCAGAGTTAACACACTGTTACACACCAATGTCCAGTGTGCAACAAAAATTACAAAGCATATAAAGAAACAGGAAAGTATGGCCCATTCAAAGGGGAAAAAAAATAAATCAACAGAAACTGTCCCCCCAAAAGATCTGATGGCTGGTTTACTAGATAAAGACTTTAAAACATTGTCTTAAAGTTGCTCAAAGAGAGTCAAGAAAATGATGTATGAATAAAGCGGAATTATCAATACCTAATAGAAATAGAAATACCTAACAGAGACAGAAAACCTAAAAAGGAACCAAAAAGAAATTCTGGAGCTGAAAGCTATAATAGCTGAAATGAAAGATTCACTAGAGGGATTTAAAGGCAGATGTGACAGGTAGAAGAAAAAATTAGTGGATTTAAAGATAGGACAATGGAATTTATTGAGTCTGAGGAATAGAAAGAAAAAAGATTGAAGAAAAGCAAACAGAACCTAAGGGACCTAATGGGGCAGCATCAAGTGAGAGTCTCAGAAGGAGGAGAGAGAGAAAGGGGAGGTGAGGTGAGAGAGAGAGAGAGAGAGAGACAGACAGAGAGAGAGAGAGAGAGAGAGAGAGAGAGAGAGAGAGAGAGAGGCAGAGAGAGTATTTGCAGAAATAACAGCTGAAAACTTGTCAAATTTGATGACATACATGAATATATACATCAAAGAAGCCCACGTCAAGACACATTATAAACAAACTTTTGAAAGACCAAGAGAATCTTGAAAGCAGTAAGAGAGAAGTGAACCATCACACACAAAGAAGCCTCAATAAGATCCTCAGCAGATTTCTCAGCAGAAACTTTAAAGGCCAGAAGGCCAATATATTCAAAATGCTATAAGAATGAAAACCTGTCAACCAAGAATCCTGTAATCAGCAAAACTGTTCTTCAGAAGTGGGGGAGAAATTAAGACATTCTCAGATAAACAAAAACTGAGTGTGTTACCACGAGACCTGCCCTATAAGAAATGCTCAAGGAAGTGTTATGGGGTGAAATGAAAGGACACTAGACAGTAACTCAAAGACATGTGAAGAAATAAAGATCTCAATAAAGGTAAAAACACAGGCAATTGTTAAAGCTAGTATTATTGAAACAATTGTATGTAATTCCACTTCTTGTTTTTTACATTGTAGAGACTAATGTATTAAAAAAATATTAGTCCCTTATTATTATAACTTTTCTTTGTAACTTCACAGTAGGTTTTTGACATAATTTAAGAGACTCACATTTTAAAGAATTAGTTTGTGTTTTTGGTTATGCCATGTATAATGATGTAATTGTGTGACATCAATGGAAAGAGGTGAAGATGGAGCTGAAAAGGAGCAGATTTTGTGAATATTACTGAAGTTAAGAGGAGATAAATTCAAATTAGTGTGTTATAACTTTAGGATACTAAATGTAATCCTCTTGGTAATCACAAAGAAAATAGTTATAGGACATACACAAAAGGACATGAGAAAGGAATTTGAACATTTCACCACAAAAAAAATCACTAAACACGAAAGAATACAGTAATGCAAGAAATGAGGAACACAAACGCTATAAGGCAGCTAGAAACATAACGAATGACAGACGTCCTTCCTTATCAGTGATTATTTTAAATGCAAATGAATTAGACTCCAATCAAAAGACAGAAATTAGCAGAATGGATAAAAACATAAGCTCCAACTCTGTGTTCTCTACAAGAGACTCACCATAGATCCAAAGACACAAATATTAATAGAAGATATTCCATGCAAATAGTAACCAAAAAGACAGCAGGGGTGGCTATATTAATATCAGACAAAATAGACTTTAAATCAAAAAGGTTACAAAAGAAAAAGGACATTATATATTAATCAAAGACTTAATATAGCAAGAAAAAATTATAAATGTCTGTGCACCTAATAACAGACCATCAAGACATGTGAAACAAAAGTTGACATAATTGAAGGGAGAAAGTTCTACAATAGTACTTGGAGATATTAATACCCCACTTTCAATAATAGCTAGAACAACCTGTCAGAAAATAAGTCAGGAAATGGAGGACTTAACACAATCAACCAACTTGATACACGGGCGTGTATTTCACTATAACGCTTTAAGCTCTGCAGGTATATTTTATACAGCCCATTCTACCTGTGTGAGAACTGATGATGATCAGCAACTTAAGAGTAAATGAGCATTGAGGAATTGGTGACAGTGAGCCTGGGTGCTTTTCCAAGACGTTTGACGGACAGAGAAGAAGAGGCGGGAGACGGGAGCATCAGGAGGGAGGGGGACTGTTCTCTTTGGCTCTGGGAGAGCTGCGCCTGTCCTAGCCTGTGGGGATCGGGCCTGGGCAAGCTGCGTCATTGCCATCAATAAAGCTGCGAGAGGAGCCAGGAAGGGCAGTCTTGGGACCTGAGCGGAGGGACCAACCTAGAACAGGGTTTCAGGGGATGGGCAGAGCGCTGGTGGAGAGATTGCCTCTCTCATGATGCTTCTGCCAGCTGAGCTGCGGCCTCCAGACTCAGTGGAGAGGGCTCCTGAGTGCCGGTCCTCAGCAGTCAGGAGGCCAGGCTTGGAGGCCCGTAGGGAAGAGCCAAGTGTGAGGCATACACTTTCCGTGTCCACTTGTGTGTGTGTGTGTGTGTGTGTGTGTGCGGGGGGGAGGTTGGGGGGAAGTGATAGGTGCAAAGAGGACAAGCTGGCACATGGCCTCCCACCGTGGGGCCCCAAGATGGCAGCTGATGAGCAATGTAGATTCCAGGGGTGGTGGCCAGAGACTGTGTAAGCAGGAGCTGTGTACCCAGCACTGTCACTGTTCACTGTCAGTGGTGGCCACTGAGTCCTTTCAATCAACCTCCAATTCCGCCGGAAGCAGGGCAAGGAAATCGCTGATGTGTGATTCTCGTCCTCCTGACCTTGCATGCACGCCTCTGAACTTGCACCTTGTCCTGCCTGCATTTGGCTCCTAGGTATGTGAAGACCTATCTGCTGCCTGACAGATCCTCCCAGGGAAAACGCAAGAGTGGAGTCCAAAAGAACACGGTGGACCCAACCTTTCAGGAGACCTTGAAGGTACTTGCTGGGCAAATATTTATGTGTTGAGTCTCCCCGTCCTGGGCGGGGCACAGAGGGTCGAAGTCCAGCAGATGGTTCTTCCAAACGCTTGAGTCAGTTAAATATAAAGGCAGACACTTATGCATTTCTGCAGGGCTCTGTCAATCAGTGGCGAGTGGTAGAAAATAAATTCCAGCCTTTGTACGGGAAAAGTGCCGAGTCAGCCAGACTTGAGAATGGCTTTTGATGAATGATTTCCAAGAAAATGGTGAAAAGGAGCCTGGCTGCCTCTCAATTTTTAAACTCGGTTTGTCCTGTTGAATTTTTATAACTGTCAAGGAAGTATTCTCAAGCAGGGCATCCTATAAATTAAACTCCTGGGCTACTATCTTTGTAAAAATGCACCTTTGTTATATATCTGCATACCCAGGTTTCTTATTTTAAGAAAAAAAAATTAGTCATTTTATGAAAACATTTTATAGAGGAATTGTTTGCGTTTCCCTTTTTCGGTGCTAAGAAACATGACTTGTTGGTTGAGGGCAGAGATGTGGAGGGGCTGCCTCACGCTGGGATTTAGCAGGGAGAGTTGGAGGTGATGTCTGGTGTTGTAGAAAGCTCGGAGTGGGAGGCCCTGAGCTGGAAGCAGTCCAGGCTCTCGGAGATGTTTCCAGTCATGGCTAGCCCAGGGATCCCGGTGTCAGGCTGTAAAGGAGAGAGCTTTGTTTGACTTCCTTGGTGAGAGGGGGCATTTGGGGACTCCCAGCAAAGGGCCATCTGGGCAGCTGGCACAAGGGTCCCATTGGTGTAATAAAAATGGCCATTGTTTTCTGTGCCCCTACTCTGGCTAGGTATTAGAAACCTCACTTACCAATGGGGAAACTGAGGCTTAGATAACCCACCATGGACTAGCTCGCAGTCCTCAAAATTGATGTGCATAGGAATCCCCAAGGGATTTAAAAATTAAAAATAAAGTGGATTCTGATTCAGCTAGGGCGTGCAGGGCCTGAGACGCTGCTGGTCTGGGACTGCTCCAGTAAGTAGCAAGTCGCGAGCGACTGGTCGTCAGATGGCTTTGGTCACATACCTGCTAAAAGAACTTTGAAAAGCCTTTTGCCCTCACACATTATAAGCTGATATCAAAATTGCTCATAAATTTATTATTTTTTTTTAAGAATTTTTTTTAAATTGGGGAATTGGGGAGATGGAAACAGTGCTCGGAAATTGGGGGAAGGGGAACAGACAAGTTGCTGTCCTTTTGTTCTTCAGTCTAGTTGTGGAGGACGTTGCCTCACTGGCCCAAGTTGGCACCATCATTGCACTCTTCCCAGGCGAGGCAGATCAGTCCCCAGCTTCTGGACGGCCGCTCACTGCGGCTGCTGGCTGCTCACGCTGGCTGCTGGCTACACACGGTAGCCCATGGCAACCCACTGCCACAGGGGCTGCAGCCTACGGCCGTTGCTAGCAACTCATGGCAGCCCAGCTCCAGGTTGAGCTGTTGTTCAGCATCTTAGCTGTAGAAGGTGGTATCACTGGCCCTCATATGTGGGATCCGAATTGGGGCCCAGTGGCGTCCCAAGCCAGTTCTTATCCAACGCGCCATTGGGCCGGCCCTCATAAATTTAATTAAGGTATTTTGTACTACACAGAGGTAGGTAGATATTTCACATTTTATGAAATAAGGTAAAATTGAGGATTGACTATATTTTAGAGAAATATTCAATTATAGAAATTGATTTTTAAAGCTTACCTTATTTACAATACATGCAGAATCTCAAATAAATCACCTAAAATTTTTATCCAGTGGTTTTATCCAGTATATTGTGAATATTTTGGATTTCGAATTACCCTTTTGTTTATCACGTTGGAGGCTCGTACAACCTGGGGCAAGACACCAGAGTCAGATTCGGGGTGTAAGAAACATCTTTTGCCAGTTTTGAGAAAAGTGCTTGTGACAGTTGAAGAACTAGAAATTGATCCTGTTTTGTGAGCAGAACGCTCCTGGAACATCTTCCAGTACTTCCGTCCCTGGGGCCCGGACGTGTGGCCCTGGGAGCCCAGGCTGACCAGCTCTGTTCCGCCTTTGCAGTACCAGGTGGAGCCTGCCCAGCTGGTGACCCGGCGACTGCAGGTGTCCGTGTGGCACCTGGGCACACTCGCCCGGAGGGTGTTTCTTGGAGAAGTGATCATTCCTCTGGCCACGTGGGACTTTGAAGATAGCACAACACAGTTCTTCCGCTGGTATCCGCTCCGGGCCAAGGTGATGTCTGGCTTGGGGCTGAGTGACTCCACCGCCACCATGAGCATTTTTCAAAGGGATCCGAGAAAAGGGCACCTACCTGGGAAACCTTGGACCCAAGACAACCGTGGGCTCTTGCCAGGCCATGACTGTTACATAGGAACTTCCCAGGAAGAAAAGGCCCAGCATCAGGCTCTCCTGGTGGGGTTCTGCGGAGGGATTTTTACCTGCTCGGGTTTGTTCAAGGGCCGCAATAGTCCAATTCTCAGTGTAGCCTAGACGCCAGCCTGGGTCCGGTGGGGTGTTCAACTCTCCTGTGCTGGCCTTGTAGCTCTGCACCCCTTCCCCAAATTCAGGGTCACTTGGTGTCAGCCGAAGAGGCCGGGCCTTCTCATTGCCCTGCAGGTCAAAGTTCACGCCTTTTGGCCAGCCAGGCTGCCCCACCCCTACCCCTGGGTCCACACCTCAGTCACTTGGACTAGAGTGTATTGTTTCTAAACGCCCCATCCCAGCCACTCCCACAACCACAGATGAGAATGACAGGACCAAGTGCTATCAGGCCGGCAGAGGCCGCTCTGACCAGAGGGGACTTGGCCCTGACCAGAGGGGACTTCCTGTCCTACTCTGGCAGAGCAGCAAACCTTGGGGTGGGGTGGGACAGGCCAGGAGGAGCTGGCTGTGCAGGTAGGGAGAGGCCAGGGGAAAGGTTAGCATTTCTTGGGGTGGCTGCTTTGCCCATTTCTGTGCCAGGATCCAAGACTGGCAGAGAGTACATTTGAGGTAGTGAAAGGGGAGAAAATGCGGCCTCCATTGTCTCCTAAGAAATGACAACAGGAGGTGCCAACCCCACCAGTGAAAGTCTCGCAGGGGCTCAGTCTTTACCAGGCCTGGACCAGGTCCCACCATTTCACCACTTTCCTCTCTGAAGCCAGGGGGGTCCCATTTCCTGTGTCGGAAGTGGCTCTGGTTCTCCATCACTATAGCGTCAAGGCCAGGGTGCTCATCCTGGGAGCCGGCCCCTTCCACCTCCCCTGTCCCTTCTCTCTGTGTGGTCTGCACAGCCCCCATACTCGCCATCCTGGGGCCCTGAGCTTTCTCTTCTCAGAGCCTCCGTCTGTCCTCAGACCTCTACTTGGGAATATCCACTTGGACTGTTTTCTCCTGTCTGAGGTTTGCCCAAGACTTCGCTGAAATGCCACCTCCTCCATGAAGTCCTCCCTGATTTCCCCTGCCAGATGAGGTCTCCCCATAGGATCCTACTAGGGGTGCCCTGCCCATCTTCTCCCCCCAGGATCCTGTATTCAGGAAAAGAGAGGCTGTCGCCAAGGCTGGTCATCCATTGGCAAGCAGGCTAGGAGCAGGGCAAAGACGTCCTCCTGATGCTACACAGTGACTCTGGTGCTGGATCTGGGGTGTCTGCTCACAGTCCCTCACAGGAGGGGGCAGTGGGGTTGGCATGGGGTTGGCACGGAGTTGGTGCGGGTTTCTAGAAGCAGAAGGTGGAGGCAGCTTTATCTCATTTGGTACCCAAAGGGCCAGCCTCCTGCCCAAGAGGCATCCAGGAGACCCAGGAGAGCTGCTGCCCAGCAGGAAGGCTGGTCCCCCGTGCTCCTGGAGTCCTCACTGGGCCCTTGCTGGGAGGCTGCTCCTGGCGGCCAGGGGTTCCCACCCACAGGGTCGGGGGTTCAGTGGATTGCAGAGTCTTTGCTCCCCACTCCCTTCCTTCACTCACTTTCTGGCAAAATCACTCATGACCAGACAGGAAGGTGTCCTTGGCAGGGAACTGGGGACAAGGACAGGGCCGACTCACTCAGACTGGAGAACCACCCCTGTATTGTGGGCACGGAGCCCAGGACCCATCGGTCTCTGGTGGCTGTGGTGTCCCTGGCATGGAAGGGTAGCTGGAATCTTTACTGACCTGGATGGAATCCGTTGTGGGGTGGGGCGGCGGGGGCTTGCTTTTGTTTACTTTTTCCATCTCAGGTTGTGTCCAGTTTTCTTTGGACTATCCTGTGGGAAGGACTGTGCCGGGGACTTGGAGCCCCTCTGCTTGTCAGGCCATCTGCCTCTGGCGGGGTGGGCGGCTGAGCTGTTTCTCCCACATGGAGGGTGGTAAGGGCGGGAGTAAGGTCACTCCAGGCGAAGAGCAGTCCTGCCAGGGACACCTACTCCACCTCACGACTCTGAGGCCTGCAGAGGCTTTGCAGGGCTGCAGTCGTGGGGGAGGGGGAGCGGACATTCATGGACAGACCTGAGGCAACCAGAGGAGCCCGGCAGGTCCTGGGGGCTGGGGACTGCTGCCTCTGAGCTCGGCCTCTTGCTCACAGGCAGAGAAGCATGAAGACGGTGCCCCTCCCAATAACGGAGAACTTGAAGTCCGGGCCAAACTGGTGCTCCCTGCAGAGCCCAGAAAGCTCCAGGAGGCTCAAGAAGGTAGGTGGCCAGCAGCCTCATGAATGCTCATGTCACTGTGTCACTGTCCCCAAAGCTTGGAGCAGCAGGCAGGCTTCCAGGTGGGCCAGCGTTTCCTGGCATTCCCTGTCTACCGCCCACTGCCCAAGTCCTCCAGTAACTCTCGCCGAGAGCTGTGGAGCTCAGCCTGGGCAGTGGGGTTTCTGGAACCCGTGGCTTGAAGGGAATCAAATGACTGGAAAAAGGCCAGGCCTCTGATGCCCGCTTCACAGGGCTCTTAGGACACCAGCCCTGAGGCTTCCTCACAAGGGGCTGGCTTGGTTGGTCCTCTGGTGAAAGCAGTCCCATGTGGCCCTTCTTGAAGAATGAACTCCTGCGTTACAGTTGGGAACTTGGCTCTTTGGGAGCCAAGAACACATCTCAGGGCCCCGGGGCCTGCAAGGCTCGGAGCGAACAGATCCTGCCTTCCGTCACGTGAGCAGCTGCTGCTCAGCAAGAGAACAGGTCAGGGACAGATACGTCCTTGAGGACCTCATAGAAGATTTGAGTAACTTAAAAAATATGGGCAAGATGAGGTGGGAGTGAAGACAGGGAGAATGCACAACGCCTTGATGTATTTTAGTGATTTCCTATTTGACTGGAAGCGCTCACAGGACCACCCGCAAGCATCCCATGGTCATCTCCAGCCCTCTAAAAGAGGTCTTTGGGGCCCCTATATTCCCCAAAACCAGTTCCCAATTTCTGCATCCTCCTCTCCTTGGGTTAGTCTTGACTCTTCACAGCTTGGTTCCCTAGGATTTCAGCAATCCTTCCATCCCATCGTGCTGACCGTTTGGTGGGTAGTTGGGGACAAGTGTGGGAGTGGGCCCAGGGGAGCATTATGGCGGGTGTGCTTCTCCCAGCTGCTCTCCTGGGGTCTGAGGGCTGTAAGAGCCTCTCGCTGAGCTCAGTTTTGGGGTGGTGGTGGTGTGTGCTAACGTGCAGGAGGGTTCACAGCAAATGTCAGCTTTCCTTCCAGGGGCAGATCAGCCATCATGTAACGGTCAACTCTGTTTGGTGGTGCTGGGAGCCAAGAATTTACCTGTGCGGTCAGACGGTACCCTAAACTCATTTGTTAAAGGGTAGGTATTAGATTTAATCAAATGTTATTTACTGATAATCTGTAATACATATGGCATGGTCCTAGGAACTGAGGACACCCCAAAAAGTCATTTTAAACTCATATGTTAGCTTCTCTACAAAAATTGAAGTTGTGTTCAAGACTGATCTCCAAGAGTTCATGGGGTTTGGACATGCTGAGGCTAGATTTGGAATCCTACATTTTAACTGAAACCCAGATCTTACTAGTCCGTTATATCAGTGAGTCAGCATTTACTGACTGAGATGGAGCATGGAATCAGTCGTGTTTATGTGTACTCAGCTTCACATCCCCTTGGATCAACGAAAAGATGGATGATTCTGCCGATTTCATTCTCATTCTTATTCACTACAGGTGTGTTGGTGTTTCCAAAAGTAAAGCAGACACCATTATTATAGAGAATTGCTAACTCCCCAGTCAACGCCATAAAGGAAAAATGATGGCCTACCAGTAAGGTAGAGCCGAGTTTGGGTCCCAACCCTGCCAATGACCTGGATGGCCTTGGGCTAGTTACTTGGCCCTTCTGAATTTGTTCTCCTGAGAACAGGGTTTAAGAGATACTGTGTGAGTCCTGGTCCGTGGGCAGCAGGTCTACTAAGCCTCTGTAGCCCGGTGGTCGACATACCAAGGAAGGAGATTAAGACAAGGGCCACTTGGCCTCAAAATCCCAAATCATCCTAATCTTAGTGCCTGATGCAGAACTCAGCTCTAAATTCGAAATATCCTAGCGAGGTCACATAGCCAATCTTGTGACTCGTTCTCGTTATTTTAGAATGCTTATTTTGTAGTGGGTTCAGCTAGCCCTTTTCTTAGCACTAATAGCCTCACGGCTGAGGCAGTACCAACCGGGAAAGGAGGCCGTGTGAAGGGCCGGTATTGTAGGGCTGTATCTGTCTCCTTCTACAGCTGTCTCACGCTGCCAGACAAACAAAAACTGAGGCTGAAGTCTCCAGTCCTGAAGAAGCAAGCGTGTCCCCAGTGGAAGCACTCCTTTGTTTTCAATGGTGTGACCCCTTCTCAGCTGAGGCAATCCAGCCTAGAATTAACCGTCTGGGACCAGCCCGTCTTTGGTGTGAATGACCGCTTGCTGGGAGGAGCCACGCTTGGTTCCAGTAAGTCCGCCTGAGAGATTTATTGGGTTCAAGTGCATGATTGAGCCTTAGTGACCGTCTCACATGGATACCATTAAAAGAACGCTTTCACTATGGCAGATGATTAACTGGTTTTGAAATTGCCTAACCTGCCATAAATGCAGATTACTAAGTCGACTTAGTACCATACAACTGAGCGATAATACAGCAAAGCATTTCAACAATTTAAATCAGATTTAGGATCTGCTAAATTGCAGACCTCAAAATGGGCTGGGTACAGTCTTTTCTTGTTTCTGGCGTCAATCATAAAAGGATAAAGGAAAATACCTTCTTAAGCCAAACTGCCGGCAACTCAGAAAGTATTTCATTAAGAGCAGGACAAAAGGGCGACACTTGTGTGGCTCAGCAGGGGTGCTTCTGGCATTTTGTGGGCGTAGTCCTTTACCAGGGAGGGCTTGAGTGCCCCAGTAACCCCCAAACACGGTGACAACCAAAACACCTGCACACATCTCCAAGGCCTCCAACCGAGGACCATTGAAGATAGAGTATTAAATTACAATTTGTTTTAAAAGAAATATTGTGCAAAGCAAAGCCCCTTCCTCTAAGGAACTCGTTTCCATGAACAAACCTGGCCCCTCTGGGCTCCCGCACCTGTGCACAGACTCCCTAATGTGTTAAGACCATCGTCAACCCTCCTCCAAATATCAACCCACTAAACCTGTCCTCTCACTTTCAACTAACAGGAAAGAAAACAGCTTCAGGCCTCTGCGGCCTTAATCCCTGGGGAGGATGCCTGCACAAGTCCAGTTCTGAACAGTTTTGTTGGGAGTGGGGGTCTCTCTTACTCACCGGTAGTTAATGTTTTAATGTGCTCTTGAGGAAATTACTTTATACTTTTCTTGCTGGTCCTCATTTTGAAAAACCTGAGTCAAGGGTGGGCAAGTGCTCGCCTGGCCTACCTACCATGACTAATTTGTTGTTTCGCTCACATCACAGAGGAAGAGCCAGCCGGCGGTGCCTACTCAGGCACACAGACAAAGCTTCAGTGGCAGAAAGTTATCTCCAGCCCCAATTTATGGACAGACATGACACTCATCCTGCACTGAAGCGCAGGCTCCACTCTGCAGCGGGCTTCAAGTCCGCGTGCCTGCAGGTTAGCTGAAGATGGGCCCTCGAGGGACCACACTCCATCTACAGCTCTGCCCCGTGCCTAGCACGTTCTTCCGTATCCCTCTGTGTACACTTGTTAAACAGAGCAGTGACCACTGTTATAGAAAGAAGTCTCGGGTTGCTTATCTGCTTTGAGAGATGTGGAAAATGGCTAGACTTCAATAAATGTTCAATAGTTACCTCTGTCTTCCAGTGCTTATCAAACAGTGAAAACTATGGCCTTGTTATGTGCATTTTAAAGGAAAAAAAAAAAAAGACTGGTGGGTCTTCGATCCCTTCCACTTTACTGTGAAAACTCTTTCTGGAGGCAGGTTAGCTCACCCTGGGGAGCGTGGGGTGCAGAAGGGGACAGACTCCCGTTTTGGGTCGGTCAGCTCTCAGGTCCGCCCGAGGAAGGCCTGGCCCCACAAAGCAGGACTGGCAGGACAGCAGACGCTCTGAGAAAGGTCGACATCCATGGCGATGCCTCACCTTTCGCGTGTCTGTGGTGTGTTCATCCACACTCGACGTCGTAATCAAAAAGAAAAAAGAGAGGGCCGGCCAAGTGGTGCGATGGTTAAGAACTGGCTTGGGACACCAGAGGGCCCCGGTTCAGATCCCACATATGAGGGCCAGTGACACTGCCCTCCACAGCTAAGATGCTGCACAACAGCTCGACCTGGAGCTGGGCTGCCATGAGTCGCCGGCGACGGCGTAGGCTGCAGCCCCTGTGGCAGTGGGTTGCCATGGGCTACCGTGTGTAGTCAGCAGCCAGCGTGAGCGGCCAGCAGCCGCAGTGAGCGGCCATCCAGAAGCCGGCGACTGATCTGCCTCGCCCGGGAAGAGCGCAATGATGGTGCCAACTTGGGCCAGTGAAGCAACGTCCTCCACAACTAGACTGAAGAACAAAACGACAGCAACTTGTCTGTTCCCCTTCTCCTAATTCCCCACTGCTGTTCCCATCCCCCCAATTCCCCAATTAAAAAAAAAAAATCCAAAAAGAAAAAAGAGAACAGAGCACAAAAAGGAAGGGCATGAATGAGCAGAAACGGCAGCCTGTGAGAGCTGACGTTTTCACGGCTTTCCAAGGATGTGGCAGAGAGTGGAAATAGGTCAGAACGGGTTCTTGTTGGGGAAACGGACGACCATCCGGTATGAAGAGTCCCTTCATGGCTGGAGTCTGAATTAGTAGCGTGTATTTTTTGAAACAAGAAATTGTGACAGAACACTGAAATGTGCATAGTCAATTACATGCACGAAGAACACGAAAAGAAAGTCCTTTTTACAGATGTGACTGTAGCAGCTAACTTCACATCACATCAGATCAAGTGCCATGGTTACATGGTTTGGTTTTAATATGTAATTCTTTTATTATTCTGTAAAAGGTAACAAAATATACAGAACAAAACTTTCCCTTTTTTAAACTAATGGTACAAACCCATATTATCGCTTATAAATACTATACTCTATAGCTGATCATTAATTAGGTATATAAGTCCAACCATTTAGCCCTCTAACTGTTAAAAAAACAAAAAAACAGGAAAAGTTTATCCGAGAGTGCAGTGTCCTGTATTGTTCATCCTGAATGGTCACAGGACTTTGTCAGCTGAACTGAAGGACCAGAGTGGGAATCACTGTGTGCATGTGTGTGTCAAGGAGTGCTTTGGACTCGGTTTCCCAGGTAATGTCACCCCTCAAAAAACATAAATATACAAAGATGCATCATCCTTCATAGAAATCAAGTACAAATCAATTTGAGCTAATTTCAAATACAGAAAAAAGTATGGCACAGAATATAAGCCACGATGTGGTTTTAATTATACTGAATCTTGTATCGCACATGCCAGCCTGGAGTTTGTTATTCAGACTTTACAGAGTCTTTCCTTAATTCAATCAGCCCTGCTCCAAGCATAAGACAGGAAGTGATTCAATAATAATAATAAAAATCAGGCCTGTTTGGCACTATGATACAAATGGGAAAAATAAACCAGGGAAGCTCCCACTGGTCCTAGCCCCAAAATATTCCCACTGAAATAACTACTCTTTTGAAAGGAACTGGAGTGCAAGGAGGGGTCTAGATTTAAAGAACTACAAATACAAGTTGTAGAGTCTGATGGGACCCTCCGCGGAGCCCGGTGCGAGGCTCCGCCCTGCCCGGCCCAGCAGCCCTCACATGGCCTCGAACTCGTCGATGCGCTGCTTGGTGTTGCCCTGTCGAATCTGCCGCAGCGTCTTGTACTTGTCCCGGCCTTGCCTCATGTTCTCATTGTGGATGAGGTCGTTGTGGGTCCTCTTGTTGTCGTCTCTGGCCTGGGACAGCTCATTGGACAGCGTCTGCAACATTAAGAAGCATCAGTCAGGTGCGGCCTTTTCACCCACCTCCCAGCGGCACAGAGGCAGATGCAGACCCACCCCCTCCCGGGAAGAGGGTGCCCTGTCTCCCGGCAGCCCGCCCCAGGCCGCCCAGCCCGCCTCGCACCATCAGCTGCCGCTGCACTCGTTCGTTCTTCTCGGCCTCGGTGACTCGCTTCTCCTCGTTGCGGTCGTCCAGGATGCCCTCGCTGGACAGCTCGGCGCTGTAGCCCGTGTACTCCGTGCCCTCCTCCTGCAGGTTGTCCTGGACATGGTAGCCCACTGGCTCGTACACGGGGGGCGGCGGGGGGGGCGGCGCGGTCATCACCAGGTGCAGCTCCTCCTTGGTCTTCACCAGGTCATCCTGGGCTTCTTTGGCCTTCAGAAGCAAACCAGCGGACAGGTGAGAACTGCTCACACGGAGCTCGTGCTGGGGCCATTTTCTTCAGAATGGCTCCCCCGCCTTCCTGGCAGGCTGCATGCAGCTCGGGGCAGGAGGTGGCCTGTGGCAGGTCACACACGTGCCCTGCAGGGTCCCATCAGCCTCTTCTGGGTCTGGGGCTCCGGGTCCTCAGTTACCAATCGTGCTCACAGCACCAAGACAGCAACTGATGCCAGAGGCCTGACCTTTTTCTAAGCATCAGGACTTTTTTTTCTGTCTATAACCCTAGTATATGCTCATTGTACATATTAAAAAAAAAAAATTATTAAAGAAAAAACAAATACTCCAGCCTCTAGAAAGCCACTCTCCCATTGTGGCGTGCGGCTTTATTCCCGTTTCACGGAGGTCCTCGCTGCCCGCCAGCGCTGTGCTCACCACTTCCTTACCTGTCATCACCTCCTCCCCACCCCTAATCCTTACAGCAACTTCCCGGGTACACACACTCAATCCCACCCACCTCACTGCCACCCTGACCGTACAGATAACTTAGTCTGTGCCTGTTTTATAACTAGCTTTTCTCACTTAATACTTTATAATAAGCACTTTCTCTAAAAACCTAAGGACTAAAGTCTTCTGCAGGGAACTTAGGTTGGGAGGTGGGGGCACCACAGTGAGGAGGCACCAGGTGACTCCAGCCCAGAAAGGGCCACCGCAGGCAGACGGGAGTGTGGAAAAGGACAGGCGGGATGGGAGAGGGGCCCCCCCACAGCTTGGCTGAGGTCTGTACTCTGTACCACTCCACAGCTCCCCAGGGCCCATGCTTTCCTGGGCAGGGTGAAGGCTCATGGATGGACAGACAGGCTCTCCAGACACTGGAGCGGGACATGGTCTCACTATTATGGCTGCAAGTTATTAAACCCCTCTGTAGGGTCCTCAGGGCAGCCTCAGAAGTTGGGTATTACTTCCCATCTGCAATAAGGAACCGAGGCTCAGAGAGGTGAGGCCACTTGCCCCAGTCACACAGCAAATGAGGGGCAGAGCCTGGACTCTCACCCCAATCTGGAGACCTCCCTAGTCCAGATCTTTCCACGGTGTCATGCTGCCTACAGCAGCCGTCAGGAGAGGGCTTAGTTCAGGCACTGTGGCCCACTGCTGGGGGCACCCACATAATCTGATTTAAAGCTAGTTCCTGGGGGAGGCTGCCTGGTGGGGCTGAACAGTTCGGGGTGGCCACAGCGAAGTGGGTGGAAACGAACAGTGGTTCTTTGTTCCCCTGATAATCCAACAACGAACTCGCTGATGCACAAGGGCAAGCCCATTCCTACGGGGATTTCTGTCTAAGAAGTACGAGTATCGGCAGAGCATTGTGAAATGTCCCTGAGGCTCTCGCTGTGACATGCCAGCCAGGCCCAGGCCCGTGGCCTCGCCTGCCAAGAGGGGCCCGCTGAGGCGGGCAGCTCGAGGCCTCGGCCGCCACTCACCCTGTGCTGCCACTCCTCCACCTCGTCCTCCTTGCGTCTCCGCGCCTCTTCCAGGAGGGCAATCTTGGCGGTATATTCTGCGAGCTCCGCAGCCTGTCAAGGGGCAAAGCTAAAATTATTTCTGGAATGCTTTCAACAGTTCGTTTGTGAATGGACAACCTCCCTTGTAACACGGCTGTGTCCCTCCCTCCTCCCGGGCCAGCAGTGTCCATCGCTGCCCATGTGTCTGAGACCCGCCTGCCACCAGGACCCCCCCCACCCGCCCCATCGGCCACTTTACACCCCCAGGCAGATCATTTTACAGTCCCGACAGAAATTATTGTGAGGCAGGTGTCACTTTTGCGCTCCCCAGAGGCAGCCTCTCCATAATTCAGCATCGTGAAACCCGGGTGACTCCTACCAGCTGCTCCTGGCTCTTTATCTGATCCACCGTCTGCCTCTCCAGCTCCTCCTTGGCACGCAGCGCGGCCATGCGGTCGGCCTCCAGGCGCTCGGCCTCCTCCTGGGCACGTTTCCTCTCCTCCTCCAGCTGCAGGGCCCTCTGAATCTGGTCTGAGAGCTCTGCAGGGGACACAGAACAGGGCTGCTCACAGGCTCTACCAGGGACCTGGAGTGCAGCCCGAAGCTCCCAGCCGGGGGGACCGGTGGGGTCACCGGCGGGAGTCACGGCCAAAGCCTCAGAGAAGTGGACCGACTTTCAAGGTGACGGCCTCTTGCAGTGACACCAACAGGAAAGTGCTCTGTGCCGCCTCCCACTGTTTACAGGACGCCATGCTCACGATGGTCAGAGCTGCTGCACAGCACTGGGAAGAGCCAGCTTTCTCCTGCACGCCAGGCACTGCTTTCCTCAGAAGCCGCAGCGCCCGCTCAGCCCCGTTTCTAGTCTGGGGAGCGGGGGCCAGACGGAGTGTAGCTCGGGCACTCATTAGCTCTGTGACCTTGGAAAACCTCTTCTACCTGCTAAACCTTAACTTGGTCTTCAGGA